GACTGGGAGAATTTTGCCCCTGAACTAGAGATTTGCAGAACTTTGAACTTGAGGGAGATGATTTAGGGTATCTGGCAGAAGAAATTTCTAAGCAACAAAGCATTCAAGAGGTGACTTGGGTGCTGTTAAAATCATTCAGTTTTAAAAAGAAAACAGAGCATGAAGGTTTGGATAATTTGCAGCCTTACAATGAGATAGAAAAGAAAAACCCATTTTCTGAGAAGAAATTCAAGTCAGGTGCAGAAATTTACATGAGTAATGAGGACCCAATTGTTAATCCTCAAGACAATGGGGAAAATGTCTCCAGGGCATGTCAGAGAGCTTAGTGGCAGCCCCTCCCATCACAGGCCCAGAGGCCAAGGAGGAAAAAATGGTTTCATGGGACAGGCCCAGGATCCCCCTGTTGTGTGAAGACTAGGTGCTTAGTGCCCTGCATCCCAGCTGCTCTACCCATGGCTAAAAGGGGCCAAGGCACAACTCAGGCTGTGGCTTCAGAGGGTACAAGCCCACAGTCTTGGCAGCTTTCACGTGGTATTGAGCCTGTGGGTGGACAGAAGAATTGAGATTTGGGTACCTCTGCATAGATTTCAAAGGATCTATAGAAATGCCTGGATGACCAGGCAGAAGTTTGATGCAGGGGTGGGGCCCTCATGGAGAACCTCTGCTAGGGAAATGTGGAAGGAAAATGCAAGACCATGGGAACTCACCTCTTGCATCAGCATGACCTGGATGTGAGAAATGGATTGAAAGGAGATAATTTTGGAGATTTGACTGACTTGCTGGATTTTGGACTTGCATGGGACCTGGAGCCCCTTTGTTTTGATCAATTTCTCTGATGTGAAATGGCTATATATACCCAATGCCTGTATCCCCATTGTATCTAGGAAGTAACTAACTTGCTTTTGATTTTACAGGCTTATAAGTTGAAGGGACTTGCTTTGTCTCAGAAGAGACTTTGAACTGTATACTTTTGAGTTAATGCTGAAGTGAGTCAAGACTTTGGGGGACTGTTGGGAAGGCATGATTGGTTTTGAAATGTGAGTACATGAGATTTAGGAGGGGCCAGAGGAGGAATAATATAGTTTGGCTGTGTCCCCACCCAAATCTCATTTTTTTTTTTTTGAAACAGAGTCTCACTCTGTCACCCAGGCTGGAGTGCAGTTGCATGATCTCGGCTCACTGCAAGTTCTGCCTCCCAGGTTCATGCCATTCTCCTGCCTCAGCCTCCCGAGTAGCTGGGACTTCAAGCGCCCACCACTATGCCTGGCTAATTTTTTGTATTTTTTAGTAGAGATGGGGTTTCACCATGTTAGTCAGGATGGTCTTGATCTCCTGACCTCATGATCCGCCCACCTTGGCCTCCCAAAGTGCTGGGATTACAGGCGTGAGCCACCACGCCCAGCCCCAAATCTCATCTTGAACTGTAGCTCTCATAATTCCCATGTGTTGTGGGAGCGACCTGGTGGGAGATCACTGAATCATGGGGGCAGTTTCCCCCATACTGTTCTCATGGTAGTGAATAAGTCTCACAGTAGCTGACTGTTTTGTACGGGATTTCCCCTTTCACTTGACTGTCATTCTCTCTTGTCCATTTCCATGTAAAATGTGCCTTTCACCTTCTGCCATGATTGTGAGGCCTCCAAGCCACATGGAACTGTCAGTCCATTAAACCTCTTTTTCTTTATAAATTACCCAGTCTCAGGTATGTCTTTATCCACACCATGAGAACAGACAATGTAAAACAAAAAAGAATCAAAATTTCAATGAACCTTGTTTATGGCATATAACTCCTAATTTCTTGTTTGATTCCATCATGTCACTTGTATCCTGCAGTTTTGTGGTGTGATGTGGTTTGACTCTGTGTCCCCTCCCAAATCTCATGTTGAATTGTAACCTCCAGTGTTGGGGGAAAGATCCAGTGGGAGGTGATTGGATCATGGGGGCAGATTTCCCCATTGCTGTTCTCGTGATAGCAAGTTTTCACAAGATCTGATTGTCTGAAAGTGTATGGTACTTCCTCCTTAGCTTTCTCTCTCCTGTGCCGTATGAAGACATGCTTGCTTTCCCTTTGCCTTCAGATATGATTGTAAGTGTCCTGAGGCCTCCCCAGCCATGCCTCCTGAACAATTTGTGGAACTATGAGTAAATGAAAGCTCTTTTCTTTATAAATTATCCAGTCTCAGGCAGTTCTTTAAAGCGGTGTGAAAATGGACACTACATGATGTGAATTGGTTTGCAGGCACTAAGTCAATTACCTGTCCTCTACCAGATTTCCACCTTCCAAAAATGGGTTGACCCTTTTTGTTGTATCCTCTCCTGTCCCTGTCATGTCAAGCATTTATTTTTTAAATCCTTCAATTTTTAAAGCAGTTTTATTGAAATACAGTTCACATGCCATATAAGTCACCCATTTTAAGTGTGTAGTTCAATGATTTTTATATTCACAGAGTTGTGCATCCATCACTAGTCATTTTAAAAACATTTTTATGACTTCAAAATGAAACCATATATCCTTTAGCTATTACACTTCTTGCACCTCATTAACCTAGTTCTAAATCTACTTTATCTCTGTGTAAATGTCTCTATTCTGGACATCAGAATGGAATCATTGTGGTTGTTTGTGACTGACCTTTCACTCAGCATAAAATTTTCAAGATTTATCTATGTTGTACCATGTGTCAATACTTTATTCCTTTTTATGGCTGAATAATAATCTGTTGTATGGATATACCACATTTTGTTTATACATTCATGTGGACATTTGAGTTGTTTCCATCTTTTGGCTATTTGAATAATGCTGCGATGAACCTTTGTGTACAAGTTTCTTTGCACGCACATATTTTCATTTCTTTTGGTATATACTTAGGAGTGGATTTGCTGGGTTATATGCCAACATTTTGAGGAACTGCCTGTTTTCCAAAGCAGCTGTACCATTTCACATTCCCACTCTCAGTGTATGAGGCTTCCATTTTCCCCAAATTATCTAAAACATTTGTCTATTTTATTCCAGCCATCCTAGTGGGCGTGAAGTGCTATCTCATAGTGATTTTTATTTGTATTTTTCTGATGAGTAATGATGTCGAGCATCTTTTCATATACTCTTTTATGCTTAATCACACTATGGGAAGGAGGGTAGATAAACATGTATATTTGATCCAGTTTATATAAGTGGAAACATGAAAACTCATTTTAAATATGCTATAGAAAAAAATTTCTTTTAAATATTTGAAAACACTTATATGGCAATCTCAAGTTTCAGCAACATGCACAGTTTTCCACTGTTATTTTCATGTTATAGTTACTGTGTGATTAAGGGACTGCAAAATTGTGCACTGAATTTGCTCTGTAAGGTTGCTTCTTGTATGGACTGTGGGTAGAAATTCAAATGACTACTTGGGATTGACTTAAAGGAGAAGTTTAAGGAGAACTGATTGCCAAGGCCGCTAAAGCTCAATGTGTTTGTCACCAATGCTGTGTACATCTGTTGTACATAAGTGTGTTCCTCGTGTGATACGTATCAAGGGAATGTGACAGCATTGACATATGGCACATGGCATATCTTCTAAGAGATGAATGGCAAGATGTTTAGATGGACTTTTGCACTTTAATCATAGTGTAAAAGATGGGATTCATTATCCATACTGAATGATAATTGTGAAATTTAGGTGGTGGGTACATGGGGAGTTAAATTGTTACACCTGCTCTTGTATGTGTTTAACCATCTCTTCAATGAAAGGATTTAAGAAATAAAACATGTTCAGTGCCTCATGAAGAGAAGGAAGCAGCACTGAGGATAGCTGGTTCTTTGTCTACTTTGCTAAATCAGCTTTCTCTCCTCCACCAGGATTTCATCTTCCAAGAATATGTAAACTTCTTTTGGTGTATCCTCTTGTATTCTTATTATCCTCAAGCACTTCTTCTTTTAAATCCTTTAAGTTTTATTGCAATATAGTACACATATTACAAAATTCACGCATTTAAAACATATACTGTGTACCTATTACAAAGCAAGAATGGATCAGTCCATCAAGACTAGAGTTTAGCTACCACTCAATAGAGACATTTCAGGAAGTATAATTCCTCTGAAGATAAAAACCTTAGAAGGTGGCCGAGAGCAGTGGTTCACACCTATAATCCCAGCACTTTGAGAGACCAAGGCAGACAGATCATTTGAGGTCAGGAGTTCAAGACCAGCCTGGCCAACATGGTGAAACCTTGGCTCTACTAAAAAAAAAAAAAAAAAAAAAAAGCCGACATCATGGCATATGCCTTTAATCCCAGCTATTCAGTAGGCTGAGGCAGGAGAATCACTTGAACCCAGTAGATGGAGGTTGCAGTGAGCCAGGAACATGCCACTGCACACCAGTCTGGGCAATTGAGCAAGACTCTGCTTCCAAAAACAGAGGTGTTTCTGATGATAACGTTTAGATGTTTTTGATGATAGCTTCTTGGGTGTGGCAGTAACTAAACAGGATTAGAGGTAGAGTCAATCCATCTCTAAGATGGAATGACAGAGGAATTAAGAGACCAGGTTATTGGGAAGCCTATCCACATGGATGATTGGACGCTCCATGGATTCTCCACCTCCTTAAGTTCTTTGCCTGGGCTTCATCCCAATTTTGTCCTTCTTAAGGCCTTCACGAAATCTGAATTATTTCTGCAATCCTAAGCTTCAGACACAACAGGGTCTGTGGCCTAAGCATGGACAGGAAAGGAGAAGGATGGTGATGGAGCTATAGTGGACATCTGTTTTGTTTTGTTTTGCTTTAGTTTTCACACCAAGCATTCACAAATTTTTCTGGAAAACCTACCTCAACTGCCCTCTAGAAAACTCACCTCATTTATTAGTCCCAGTCTGTATAAGTGGAGTTGCCGTCTCTTCAGGCCCCTAATATTTTAAGGGTATATATGTGCACACTCTTAGCCATAAGGAGCATTCTGTAAAGATTCATAGCCAGCCTCCAAATGTCTGTAACCCTCATGCATAGTCAAGGACTCACCTCTGGATCATGAGCTGCAGGTGTTCTACGTAATATCTATTATATTCCACTAAGCCCATGAAGATCATAGGGGATACCTCCGCCTGATAGGTGCACCATATACACTAAGGGGAAATCTTGCATGTTGCCATCAATGTGGCTAGAAAGAAGGCACAAAGATCAGCTTCCCTAAAGAGAGGGATGCCATGTTTGACAACATCCCTGCAGATACTGTTTTAGTCCTGAAACAATAGCCCCATGGACACTTCTGCCAAAATGGCATCTGTCAGCAGCGCCCTGGTAAACCTCAAAGGGGTAGTGCCTAGATCCAGATTGACAAAGGGTCGTGATATGGGCATGATGGGACATAAACCTTTTTCCACTACCATGGTCATCCTTTCCTAGCTTCATTTTTTTCTTACTTTCTCATTCATTATAAGGCATCTTTTCCTTACTCTCAGCTATATTTTAGCCTAGGAGGTAGGTGGTTGCCTGGTCAACATTCCTGTCACAGACGGCTAGGTGATTTTTTGCTCTGTAAAAAAGTCATCAATCCAGGCAGCATGGAGAAATACACAGGGAAGGTAACTACTTCCCCAAGTGACTTATTAGTAGAAAGACCTCAAAGTGAAGGTCAAAATGTGCTTCCCTAAATCATGAGGATGCCCTGCCTTTCAAATTCTTAAGCAGCATCCACAGTGTTCCTGACACCCTACCCCAACCAGCAATACCCCAAACACTACCACCAATTTATACGATCCTGTGGTCAGTGACAACTTTTTTAAAATACTGATTAAACCACTATTTCTGGAAAATGTGCCTGTCCTTGACCCTCTCTTCAGATATAGAAGGCCTGACTTCCTTATGGGTCTAAAGGACATGAAGCAGTGAATGGAGAGGAAGGTACAGGCTGCCATACGGCATCAGTAAGTCTCAAGCAAAGAAGTAGAAAAGAGCTCATCTCCTCAGACTTCATCAGGGAGAGAAGGGGCTTTTGGAGGCACATGATACTCTTTCCTCCACAAGAGCTCCAGGGGATTAGTCACCTTTTAAAAGTCAACTGAGGGACTCAGCAAGAGCTGAGCTAACTCTTACCTTTCCCTAACCACAAGCTTTGGTTACCCAAAACTTATTCCCCCCAACACAATACACATAAAAGACATTCTTCCTATTAGTACATTTATTGGGGAGAATCAAGATTCCCAACAAGGAGTGAATTATTTTGTGGGGGGAAATTTTCCTCCCTGGAAATGCTTCGGAAGCATTTTCTGTCCAGTTAGTAAAGGCACATCACTGAACACACTGCTATTAGCACTGGTAGGGAGGGCTGGACACACCAAGTTGACCTGATGCTGACAAATGGGGTTTGAATGTGGCATAGGCTTCCTGTGGGGCATGGACTGGGGATGCCTTTGACACAATAGCTTCCCCTTAAATGCCTCAACTTTCTCAGGCTGTCTGTCCTTGTCTGTGTTCTGTCTAATCCTTGTAGGATAATTCTGGCCAACAAAGATAGCTTGTTGGCTGTAAGATTTGGTACGTGTCACTTTGCAGGAGGGAGCCATGTAGTTGTGGGGATAGCCCTGGACAAGCTCTGCTGTGAACTGCACTTCTGGGTTGTGCTGAGCTTTCCCAAGCTCCACCGGGGAGGCAAGGGGCTCCTGGGGACAGGTGACATCTATCCCATGCCTATGCCCCAGCTTCCCTTCTAGGAACTCCCCAGTGTCTTTCCTAATTTTCTGAGCTTCAATACTTCCAGTAAAGCCAGCTCTGCTTTTAACTCGACCTCTATTCTGCACAGATGACGACAGGGAGCTATCCTTTGCCCGAGAAATTTCTTGATCTTCATATGTTATGCTGGGTTTATTAAACTGCTGCAAAAAGGTCTTCATCCACTTTCTGAAAAGGTTTTCAGGAGGAGGCTGTGTTTTCAAGGTTGGGGAAGATTTGCTCCCAAGCAACTCCCTTGATGTCTTGTTATGAATAACGTGGCTCTTTCTCCTGAATTGGGATGTCCCCAACCCTGCATCCCCTCCACCAACCTCTCTTCCCTTGGATCTTAGAGGGCTCACTCTCTTTGTAGCTGGTGAAAAATTCTTAACTTGGCATTTCTGTAAGACATGCGTAGGGACCCTGGGCTCCTGCTGCTGTGCCGCACAGATCCCTCTGTCCTCCAAGTGGACATGCAGCACCTGGGAAGTTTCCATGTCCAGACTTGAAATGCCCTGGGGATGAATCAGTAAGTCCTTGGAACTCAAGTTCTCTAAGGCAATAGACGTGTCAGTGAAATGGCTCTGAGGTTGGCTATCCTTCCTCTGGACCAACTTTAACTGACTCAGCATCTGATTTTTAAGATATGATGATTTAGGATCTTGGGGAACTGATACTCTTGGTGGGAAAATTTCAGTTTCATGAGATGTGCTTGTTTTCACATTTGTCACTGAGCAGCTTCCTGACTTGCTGGATGTCAAGTTGTTCCTAGTTTGTGATTGAAGAGCACAGCTCTCCTCTTCCTTGAACATCTCCTTCGACCCATTGGTGACAGGAAAGGTCTTTCTACTGCCCTGAAGCCTGTTAATATTATTACTGGCACTATCTCTCTTATCCCTTGACTCACGGCCAACTCCAGCTTGCATTATGGGCAGCTCTGAGCTGCATCTACTGGCCGGTACAGTCTGTCTCTGACTGGCTTCGTCTATGATGCTGTGTGCGGGGGGCAGAAAAGTCTGTCCGCCATCCTCAGTTGTTGGGACACTTTCTGTAAGATCATTGTCAGTATCAGCGAATTCTCTTTTCAGGGTCTCATGCTTTTCTTGATCGACAGGTGAGGTAACCAGTTCAGGATGACCCAGGATGGAGAATGAGCTTGTGGTTTCTAATTTTTCTCCTTGAAAATCTGTAGTGCCTCTTCTAAGGGGCGTGGAGGCCCTATCTTTGGAATCTCTCTCTATAAGGTCATGATCAGTATCAGAAAATTGCCTTTCCAGAGTCTCTGATTTTTCTTTGCCAACAGGTGAGGTGACAGGATGAGGACGATCAAGGACAGGGACTGAGCTTGTTGTTCCCAACTTTCCTCCTTGGAAAGTGCTTTGTCTATTAGAGTTAGAGACCCCATCTTTGGTATCTCCCCGAGAAATAAAGCTGGCTGAGGAGGGAATGTCGAAATGGGAAAAGGAATTGGAAAGGTCCTCTTTCAATTTGAAGATTTCTATGGATTCAAGGACCTTGCGGGGAAGGCCCCACAGCATTCTCATGCGGAAAGATTTAATATGGGCTTCCAACATCTTTTGTTTGTTAGAACCAAGGAAAGAAATCTCCTGGGAAGTATCAACGCCATGGTCCTCACTCACCAATGCTGCCATATTTCGATGTTTTATTTGGCTGTGGGATTCCTCAGCAAGAGACATCGTCTGCTTGACTGAATGCCATGAACTATGCACAGTCCCAGGCATTCGACCCTCATTGATTTCCTCAAATTTCTTGCTCAAATGTACTGTCAGGGCATTTTCAAGTTGTTTCTGACCTAGGCTCTCCCCTGAATGATTCCCTGACAGATGCATCATATGAGTGTCCAGGTCTCTCTCAGAGTTAGACCTCGGATCCTCATCTGAAGATGTCTCTGGATCATGCAACAGATGATCTTTTGGGCCATTCTCCTGTCTGTATCCCTGATAATTCCCCACATTCTCCAGGGAAAGCATATTTGAGCTCCTCTCGTGGAAGGTTCTAGGGATGCTTGATCCGAACTTCTTTAGAACATTGAGGCTCTGACCCTCAACTGAAGAGCGATGTAAGGGTCCATGAATGCTCTCTGACACAGATAGCTCCGAAATTTTACTCTGAGGATGTAGCAATGACAGAGACTCATGGATTCTACGAGGCAGGCCCCATCTGCGCTGGATAAGCCTCTTTCGAATGTGTTGCTCTAGTTTCTTCCTTACCTCAGAGCTCAGTGGAAAATCTCCAGGAATGATGGAGATGGGAACATGGACCTTGAAGGACTTTCTGACCAATGCAAGATTGGGAGCTAGAGGACAAAAGTCTTCCTGGGATTTTTTAACCACAGAGGGTAAACCCCACACACTTCCCTGCACTTTCTGCAACACGTTACACTCCAGAAGATTAATTTCAGATGGCGTAAGAGACTGTGCCTCGTTCTGGGGTCTATGAAAACACACTCCACAGATCCTAATCAGGAATGGAGGACTAGGTAGTAGGACTGGGAGTGGAGATTGATGTTGAGCCTGGGACTGGACCTGAGTGAGATGTGGGGACTGACCTCGGGGCAGGGTTTGAGGCAAGGGTAGAGCTTGGGTATTAGGCAAGGACAGAGGTTGGGGAGGGGGAAGTACTGGAAATTTATGGAATATAGATGTATTTGTAATGCCATTGAAGAATACAAACATGGAGGTACGGCCACGTTGGCCGAGAACAGTAGGGTGAAGAGACTCGCTGTGCAGAGATGGGAGACCCCAGAAGAGCTGCACATATTTTTGCTCTAAATGGTCTTCAAAGCACTTAGAGTATGGGGGGTCCTGATGGATGTGCTGCCCCTCTAGTTTGCCTTTATTGGCCCCAAAAGGAAAGAATTCTACCATGTCATGCTTATCAGCAATTGAGGCTAACATTTTCCGTGAAGAATTTAGTTGGTAGTTTGGCCTAAGTTGTGTTGGGAAAGATCCTGGTTTCTTTCCATTTTCTTTCCACATCAGGAAATCACACCTTTTTTGGACTTGTCTCTCCAGGAGTGCCAGAATGTCATGGCTGACAAAAGAGATGTTAACAGGCTGTATGACGTTGGCCACAGAGTGCCACCCTAAAGAGGCCTCAGAAGACTGAAGGGTAAGAAGCTCCTCCATGAAATCAGATGGCACAAAATTGGAGGAAAAAGAGCCCTTGGCATGAGGCTGCCACCAGGAGAATTCTGAAGATGCAGGGCATGAATGGTCAATGCCTTTGATTATTGGGGCATAGGTGGATGTCTCACCAGAGCCACCTAGAGATAACATCTCTGCAAAAGGCCTCAAAATGGTGAGTCTTGATTTCGACTGAGTCACAGAGCAGTCTTCCAGTGGTAAAGCAGCTGAGATTGGCGGTTTGTTATGATGAGCACATGAATCAGTGGGATTCATGGCCTGGGAAATATCTTGGCATATGGTGCAGTCAAGTGAAAAGATGGTGTTCAGAGACAAACTGGCCACAGGGTGGAGATTGGGCTCCACTCTCTGAATGTGATGTGGTGGCAGAAGGGGAAAGGGAAGCTGCTGGGGTGGGGAATGGTCTACGGGGAACTTGGAATCCAAGGGAGAAACAGGCTGTGGTGGCGGAGGGTCCTTCAGTGGTGAGGGTGAAAACAAGTTAGCTAAGGACGTGATCAAATCAGGTGAGAGAATTAACAGGGGAGGTGGAGAGAGCTTAGGCTGAGGAGACAATATTAGGTCTTCTGTAGAGATTGCTGAGGGGGTGGAAGACAGAGTGAACGATGACTCAGTCACAGAAGCTCCAGAAGGCAAAGGGGACACACAGGGAGCAGCATCTTTCAGGGACTCCCAAGACAGCAGTCGCTGGATATCAGCAGTTGCTCTGTTACACACCTGACAGAGGGGGTCTGGGCATAACAGTCGACGAAAGCGGGTGGTATCATGATGCTGGCCCAGGGGACTGCAGGAAACAGGAGGTCCAAAGCTGCAGCCAGAATCAGAACAAGGAAAGGAGGGTCTGTTAGCCTAGCAGGGGTGGGGCCCCCTGAATCCTGCTACCTGCTTCGCATTGCCCCCCACCCATGACCTCACCATATATGAGGTCATATGACCTCACTATAGCCTCTCCCCAAAGCATTCATTCACATACCCATTCCTATGGCTACCCACTCCCAGAACTACAGCAGGCTACAAGGAATCCCTGAAGTGAATAGAACATGCAAAAAGAAAAAAAAAGGAGGGGGTGGGAACAGGACACAAGGGGAACGATTAATCACCTTTTCAGAATAGAAAGTAGCTTTCTTTCCTCTTCTGCTTCCCTCTGGAACCTTTTCCGGTCTGGGAAACCAAAAGAGTATGTTATATGCAATGAACGTAGTGGCACAGGGATCATACAGAAGTCACTCTGTGGAAGACCCTTGGGATATTAAACTCTGATAGCCCCAAGAATCAGTAGAAAAGGGCAAATAGTCATTGATAATTTTCACAAGTTCACGTCTGTATGTGGAATCATTAGTAAACTTTCACATACATTACCCCATGTGATGCTCAAAAGCACCACATGAAACACATCGGTGGTAACCTCTAGGAGGAATCCGAGCATCGAGGAAGTCAAAGCACTTATGCAAAGTTGTGAGACAGAAGCACTGACTCCAAGCCAACCAGTAGTCCTTCCTCGATATCTCAGTAGGCTGCCAGTTGGGCAGCACCCCTTGGGCAGGTCCATCACTTTGTCATGCACATGAATGGGCAGAGCAGGGCCTATGAGTAGTGTCTCATGTCTGATTCCTTTCCCATGAGCCTGTCTTCTGAGGACTCTGTTTTCTGAGACTGTCTAGTAACTGACATTCTAAGAAATTATGGGACTGAGTTCCTCATGAAAGAGACAGGGTGGAGGGAGCAACAAAAGGGGGGTGTGTCCACAGCCCCAACCCCACCAGCACAGCCGACTCTCCTGGGCTCTCTGCATCCCTTTGCCCTATCCTGCCACTCCATTTCCCAAGTCCATCCTTTTTCATGTCACCCTGAAGCTCAGATAAAGCAGGCTGACATTACCTTTAAATGTCACACTTTTCCTTCTCCTCCTGGCTCTGCCCTGATGCTGAGAACAAAAGAAAGATAATGACAGGCTACGACTCACTTCTCTCACACTCTATGAAGCTCATTCATTCATTCATTCATTATACAAGAATGATATGACTCTCTAATTAATAGAAATACGTTCTTTTTATCAATTTTTGAAGGTGATAAAATATTTCCCATTTTTCCTTCTCTGAAAAGCTGAAAGAGGATTTCTTCTGTGAGAGCCACACTTGATGTGCTGAGTTAGAAGTCCTCATCCAGGGCACAGACTCAGAGTCCAACAGTCACATCTGTGCTCCCTCACAGAACAAGTGTCCCAGAGACAGAGCTGTGGCCCCAGCCTCTGCTCAGAGACTCTCAGCATTACTCCCCTGGTCAGCCCAACATGAAGGAAGGCTTTGTTGAATGACAGGTGACATGGGAATGTGACTCATGATCAAATTTCAGCAGAGACTGTTCTCCTTCAGAGAACCCACATTCCCTAAATAAACCTATCTGGGAGCACAGAATTACTGTGTTTAGGATTTTATCCCGGAACTCTCCACCACAGCCAGATAGGTAGTCTATGAGCTACAGATGGAAACCTTAGTCCTCCTGAACCCCTACGTCTGCCCAACCTCTGCCACAGAAAGTGAAGCTCTATCCTCTCTTCAGACTTCCCATGTAAGACATGTCTCTGAACCAACCAGACTTATTTAGGAATGTGGGAATAGGTTTGGGAAACAACAACAGGGCATCTCTCTTGGGTGTTCACCCACAGTCCCTTACCTTTTGGATGTCATTATTTTTTTCGGTGGGTGACAAATACAGGGTCAATACCATGTAGAACAAGTACAGTATAAACAATCCCAACCCACTCAAGCAAATGAAGGTGGGGTCAATATCCAAGTAATGTGAGTCAGGGCTCAGCCCTGTCTCAATATAGCTGCTCAGAAAACAGAGGATATTCTCCATGATCTGAATAGCTCGGCTGCCTGAAGCAACTGAGCACTGAGGGTGCCCAGGCTTAACTATAAACCCAGGCCTGCATCACAGAGCATGGAAGAGTCACAGAGGGTTTCTGAGGGTGGAGGGAGCAACAAAAGGGGGGTGTGTCCACAGCCCCAACCCCACCAGCACAGCCAACTCTCCTGGGCTCTCTGGGTCCCTTTGCCCTATCCTGCCACTCCATTTCCCAAGTCCATCCTTTTTCATGTCATGTATTTATCTTAGTGGAATTTTCAGTTTGTTCCAACAGTAAACCAGGCATTACCCAAGTCCCGCTTTACTGTTTGGAGCCCTCAACTTGGACCCCACCAAGTACACTCCCTTGAAAGCCTGAAATACTGCCTGGAATATTTGTTGTACCCAGGCTTTGCCACTCTCAGGATCACATATGTCCTCAAATCCGTCTTATCTGCAGAATGTTTTTGCCTTACATAAATGCAGATATAAAACTTAAATTTCCTTTCTACTTACTTTGTTTTGTGAATGTCGAACATTACATTCTTTGTTTTGAAGTCAACCTTTACTATTTCCAATCAGAGAGACTGAATCAAATGATTAAAACTAATCTTCTCAAGGAAAAGAAGCTCACCGCCCAATTTGGGTTTTTCAGAAAAGAAGATTTTTATTGTAAATAAACCAACAAGGAGACAGGAGTCCAGCTCAGACCTGTCCCGTGTGCATTTCATGCAGTCATTTTATTAGAAAAGGTTTAGAGAATGGCCTCTGTACTTAATAGTTGGTTGGTGGAAGGAAAGGGGAGGTCTGAAAGTCCTCGGCATGCACAGTTTTGTTTAACACTGCCTCATGTATCACGTGTGCACATTCGTGGGGAGTTGGTTGAAACGTGGCAGAAATTGGGGCTGTGACGTTGGCCAGCTTGTTCTGTGTAAACTCCAGTTGGCCTTAATAGTTTTAATCCATTTTAGCCAGTTTTTAAATCTCAGAAGCAGGGAGAGTTTTGGCATTTTAGCAAGTTACTATTGTTGTTGTTGTTTGATCTGCTATCCTGTAAACTGATTAATTTCATTAGTCATTGGTTTCTTCAACTCTCTGGGGCATGGTTTCACTAATAATGCATTATTTAACATCTACAAAATGAAAATAAGTGTACAATAAGTGTATATCATTGAAACTTCGAGGGACCTTAGGGGTAAATTTATAGAACTTATTTTTCTGAAGTTAGTGAAGTTTAAACTGTTCAAGCACTTTTGGAACATATTCTGTACACAAACACACATACACATCGACCTAAAAGGAAGAAGTTGACGGAAAATTATTATAAGTAGGGAGTTCATTTGGGTCAAGCTTGAGGATTGCAACCTGGGAACACAGATGCAAGTCAGCCTAAATATACACTCCAATTAGCAGTAAATACAAGTGGGTTTTTAAAGTTGAAAAAGAGGACAAGGAGTGGATTGATACAAAGTTGTAATCAGGAATTCTCATTGGTTTACAGAAGCAACATTGATTAGTGATTGCCTGCACATTTTTAAGCTATAGGGGGTGGTTTGTAGTGTCAGGTGTGGCATTACTGGGTTACTATATAGCTCCATGTGGCAATAGCAAGCAATTTCAAGAGATGAATGCATAGCTCAAGGAGGAGATACGGCTGTGATTTCTGTCTCATTTTAATGTCTCTCTAGGCCTGATAATTTAAGAGGACTCACAGTCCTCAGATAAAAGTTATTTTCTTAACAAACACACCCACACACCAATCCTGTGACAAATCAATCAGTACCTTCAAATCCAGAATCAATTAGTTCCTCCTTTTATTTCAATCTCTTACTTGTCGTTTTGATACCATATTTTCTAACTCTACCTCAAACACAACCAGACGCAACTCTGTACATCAATTTGGTAACAAGTATGCAACTCCCTTAAAGCAGGGATAGGTTACAGTGCCCTAAGCTATTGTGATCTAAGAGACCGAAACAGATGCCCCTTTATCAACTAAGACAGACCCTAAGGTTAAGGAAACAAAGTTACCTGTGGTGGAGGGTTCAGGGCCTGGATGGCATGGCAAATTTTCTAACTTTCTATAACTAAACTCCCTCTAACCAAACCAGTTATCAGCTCTGATTGGACAGAGGACCGGCCTTACAAACGTTCTTTTCTGATAAGTTACTAATATTACAGATTTCCAGTTTCTGCCAGCTTATAGAGGTGGCACACAAACCGCCTGTGTCCTGAAGTTCATCTTATGATGTAAGGGGCCAAATTCTACCTCATTTTAGTGCTAAACCCCCACTCCAAAGTGAACATGGGATGTATGTTACATATGTTTACTCATTATGGTGTGCTCGGCACCTGCATAAATATGTATAGCTTTTCCCACAAACTTGTTGAATATGTATGAATATGAATATAAAACCCAACCTGTCCTTCCCCTATTCCAACAGAGAGCACCTTCAGTCCACACTGGATGCTTTCCCTTCCTGGCTTGCAAACTGATGAGAGCAATGAGGCTCTCCTTTCTACTATTTAGCCATCTTGGTGGTCTTTTGGATGATACTACTGATGCCATCAGCCTTTGGTAGCAGAGTGGGACCCAGGCGTGTCAAAGCCTTAGAGCAGAATGGAGTCTTAAGCAACCTCACCTGATTACACTGTGGGCCATGTAAATGTGATCTTTTCCTGAGTGCCTTGGCATCCAAAAAAACTTGAGAACATCTGCTCTATATTCTACATAATCACCCCTGCAAATATCCAAATACCAACTACCTGTCATACTTTATTCAGGTGACTCTTGTCAGGTTTAAATGATCCCAATATCCCCCACCCCTGACCCATCTTCCTACACATTCTTTTCTAAACTCTTTATCATGACAGCTGTCCTCTGAACTGCTCTTAACTTCTCATGTCTTTCTTAAACTATTGTGAAAGAAAACAATAGTGCCATGAAAAGGACTCCATACTTCTATATTGGAGTCCTTGCAGATGAACTATAACCTAGCCTAATAGTTAGACAAATTGGAAACCTAACTCAATAGTATGGACCTGTAACAATAGCTGAGTGTTGGCCAATCCCAGCGGCCCTACTTCAACCACTCATAGACTGCTGAATGTTCAAACTGTGTTCAAATAAGGCAAAGGCCAAGTTGTAATCAATCTCACTCTTTCTGTACCACACTTCTGATTCATGTACGTCATTTTGCCTTTTTGGTCCATAAATTGGTTCTAACCATGAGGCACCCGTGGAGTCTCTGTGAATCTGCTGTGATTCTGGGGGCTAACCAATTTGCAAATCTTTCATGCTCAGTTAAACCCCTTTAAACTTAATTTCTCTGAAGTTTCTTTTAATACTGTAAAGCTCCTTATTAGACAACCATGGGCCACCACTGTTACCCATGGGCCACCAGTGTTACTGATCTCTTTGGAAAGGTTAAGACAGCCTTCAACTCAGGCCGGGTCTCCTTTCATTTATGCAGGAGCAGGTAACCTGCCTTGAGGATAAAATCTGCCAAGAGATGCCCCTTCCTCCTCTCTTTGATATGCAGCCTCAGCCAAGTTTTCATCTAATAAATATTTACTGCTGGAAACTA